TGGTGCCCATCTGCAGACTGATCGTGGTCTGGTCAAAAGGCTTGTCCGTTTGCATTTTGGGATCATAAAGATGCCTCCGAGTCCCGTAGGCAGTCATTCCTGCCTGGCTGGCACATTTGTTGGTTCCCATCTTTTAATTTAAAAATAAAATCAGCATTAATGATTAGAAGCCAACAAGAGAGAGGACACAAAACTTCCTGTTCTACGAAAGAGCCAGAAGAAGCAGAACAGACAGAGCTTTCTGCGCGGGTTCTCTGGTTAACTGGATACAGAATCTCTTCTATGCTCTCACAAATCTCAAGGTGCTCACTTTAAGAAAATTTCGAAAAATAATTATGGGATGATAATGCACAGATAAACTGGTAGTAGAAATTCTATGGGGACTACACCCGAGAAAAGAAAAACATTGTTAAAAAAAAAAAAAGGAAAAAGATGCAAAATATATAATATATATACATTAAAAAAAAATTATGGAATAGAAAACCCCCCCAACATGATCAATCATATAAAGGTACACACAGCAGAGGTGGAGACACACAAAAAGCTATCGTAGTAGCAGAACGATGAATGACTTGTTTCCTCTGCTAATCTCCCTCCCGACCCCACTGCACTGATAACCGAATAAAATGCTTCAGCCACATCAGGGCACATAGCTATCATTGGCTATGCAACATGCTGTTCTGCTCCAGATAGGCTTTGCATAAAATGTGATGGCAAATGCCAGGTGTCTTCTCCGACAGCCTAGCGGGGGCTTCCCTATGTTTCATCAAAATTGCCAACGTTTTCATAGGAAAAGAACCACGTTATATCCCTCCCATGCTCATGCCATTGGTCAGAGAGAGGGAAAATGAGGAATGTGAACTCAGCCAGGTTCAGAGGAACAATAATTAACTTCTCTTCCCCATGAAAATAATATGGCTTCAGGACCAACCAGTACACCCTGTTCTACTGGTTACATTTCTACCACTGGTTTTTTTTTTTTTTTTTCTCTTAGAAACAAGACAGATTGAAGGAAAATTTGATTGCTAAAAGTAAATCATACTCATTGGAAAAGACTCAGAAAAAATACAGGCAGAAAGGAAGGGGGAGACCGCTGTAACTCTAGTCTCCCACTGTAACGTGTGTCGTTCTAGCTTTTTACCTTACGGATCTGAGTACATCTACAGACATGCATAGAAACATATACATGTATGTAAAACGTGTACATCTTTTAAATAAAATTGTGACCACACTGATTGTATTATTTTGTGTGCTTTCATCTTTAAACTTTTGTCTGTTACTCTAACAGTATTAGTTTTTATCACTTTTCATAACCTAGCCAACTGAATGGAAATGCAGGTTTCAGGTTTCTTGCTACAGATATAGTATTGTACTGTATAAAAATAAACTCACTTCACAAAAACTCAGTCAAGAAAGGAACTTTGTATCACAGGAGGGATCAGAGAATAAAACCCAGAGGATTTGGGGCATTTAGCAACGATGTTTCTGTGACACTCTTGTGGGGAATGGAGACAGGGAAAAATGAAAGGGGAAATATGCATTTCACAGAAATTTAACTGTGACATTCTAATAGCACTTGGCTTCTATATTATACCTTACTAGTATAACTGACTCTGGCATTGAGTTTTTTATAAAATTGACTCATTTGGTCGGTAACATCCAGGAATTTTAAATGTACATTTTCTTAAACAACAGCAACAAAAAAGGTGGTAATTAGGAAAAATATCATTTCCTGAGAAACGATTACCAAGTCAGTGGCATGCCTGGGGTTTCTTCCTAAATCCATCACCATGATCTCATGGGCTTTAAATGGACCTAAATGGACATAAACCACATCCATCCCCCAAGCCTACACTGCCATGTTATCTACCTCTTCCTCCCTCTACCTTTCAGAGGGAGAATTAATGACCCGGAATAAGTAATTGGTCAAGCAGAACCCCATGACTTACCTGCAAACCAATTACACTTTGGCCAGCTTTTAATTTTCCCTCATCAAAACGTCTTGTCTGCTTTTCTGCATACTTAACTCCAATATCAATGGTTGTATGGAAGCCTTTTGTTTTCGCCTAGACAAAAACCACATACTCAATGAAACACACTTTACGGGAGATTCTGCCAACAGTTTACAGAAAGGACAATGAACTGATATGCTTCATAGATGAAGGTTTTATTAGAAAAGACCCAAACTAGGAGTGAGAAATGCAGCTAAAGCCGTTAGTATTACACTGCACCCCTGAAACATGGGTAGTATTCAAATTAAGCTCTCTTGTAAGAGGCAGCTGATGTCAGCAGCCTTTACACAAAGCTAATAATTACAGATGAAACAGGGCTCTTCCTTGCCTCAGATGAACTCCCACGGGTGAGGCAAAGAGGTAACTCACCACCAACTGGCTGAGGACCTTTTCAGCAGCCCCTAGAGACATACGTACCAGGCCTGCCAGAGCCACCAGTGTCGTCTGAACCTGGGTCATGTTTCCATTCTCAAAAAGATCATTTGCTTCAAATATGTCATGTGGTTTCATCCCATAAGCCTGGATGGCTTTAATGAAGTTGCCAATATTCTCCAACTATGAAGAAAAGGAGTCATATGACTTTTGACATTCACATTATCGCATGACCCTAGGTCTTCATGAAGAGTTACAAAATGCCAAGGAGAAAGGTTCTTGACAAGGATGGAGTGGAGGGTTCTTTACTTCTTTGCCTATGCTTCTGTTAATTTCGGGACAGTATTTGATTTCTCCCCTCAGTTGCAGTCCCTGTAGCTCCCCCGCCCCACCCATGATCCATTACCACAGACCCTTGTGCTCTTCCCTCCCGTTTGCCTCCTCTTCATCCCCTGCCCCGTTGAATGCTTCTTCAGAGCGACAGCTTTGGCAAGGATTTTTGACCAGACCCCTACTGAGCTTTCTGAGCTCTGACTGAAAAAGGAAAGTGTAAAAAGGAAGCGGCTATTTCAAAAAAGAAAAGACCACATAACTGTCGCATTATTTTTAAGCAGTCACGTTTCTCCAGTTCTGTACAAGAAAGATCTTCCTTACATGTTTTTTTTTTAAAGATTTATTTATTTATTCATACAGAACTGGGGTACAGGCCAGAGACACGGAGGGTGAGAGGAGGAGACAGAGCGGGGTGCAGAACAGGCAGATCGACGAAGCACACTGCTGAGGGGAGCAGCGGGCGGGTCAGGAGAGGTCTGCCGCGCCATGTGGGTCTCCTCCGGGGCAGGCGGGAATCGAACTCATGCGGAAGTGGCTCAAGCTTCTTTGTGCAGTGCTTTAACCCGCTGCACCACCAGGGAGGGCCTTCCTTACATGTTTTAAAGATTTCTGTCAGAGCTATCCAGGTCTGGAATTTTCTTTGTCAAAAGTTCTCATATTAATAAATTATTGTGTTGCAATTTTAATTTAAAAATAAAGCTGTGGGGGCCTCCCTGGTGGCACAGGGGTTAAAGTCACAGCGCTATCAATCTATCACAGCCACTGCGGCATGAGTTTCATCCCCAGCCAGGGAGCTGACCCACATGGCGCAGACCTCTCCTGTCTTGCCTGCTGCTCCCCTCGGCAGTGTATCAGTTGATGTGCCTGTTCTGCTCCCCACTCTGTCTCTGGTAGGTCCTCTGACCTCCCACACCTCTGACCTGTACCCCCATTCTTGTATGCATAAATACATCTTTTTAAAAATAAATAAATTTGTGGTTAGTGCTCAATCTCCTATATCTCAAAACACATGCACAAGATGAAACATCAAATTTTACTTAATTATACATTCACAAATTAAGACTTAACTACAATTAACATAGTGTTCTACTTTCCACCATCAGTAGTTATATTAAATTTCTTGGTTTTGTCCCATGTGAATCCTCACGGTCTAGGTTGTATTTCTTTGTGCACCGTGTCAAATCCTCTCTGCGAGTAGATAATCCAAATATAAGAAAACTTCTTAGTTAAATAGCTAAGGATCAAAAATAAAATATAGCCAAGTACACACATTTCTGCTCAAAAGCTTATTTTAAAGCTAATCAAGATTCTGTGGTGTCTATACAATGGAATACTGAGCAATCACAAATGATAGGCTCAGGCCATTTGCAGCAACACGGATGGGGCTGGAAGGGATCGTGGTCACTGAAATATGTCGGAAGGGAAAAATATCAAATGGTTTCACTTACAGGAGAATACAGGGAAACCAATCAAGGGGTCAGGGAAAGAAAAAACAAAATAGCAGGCAAACTATAGATCAGATATGTAAATCAGGGGAGAGAGAGGGATCAAAACAGGGGAGGGAAGAGCACAAGGGACGGTGGTGGTGGGCCAGGGTGACTTGGTGGTGGGAATTTTATGGGGATTATTACACCTAAGAGGAGCAATCAAACACTGCATAAGAATAAACAATAGGGCCCTCCCTGGTGGCACAACAGGTTAAAGCACAGCACTATGCGGCAGTCCACAGCCACTGCAGTATGTGTTTGATCCCCAGCCAGAGAGGTGACCCACATTGCGCGGCGGACCTCTCCTGACCCACCCACTATTAGCAGTGTATTCAGTCAATCCGCCTGTTCTGCTCCCCACTCTGTCTCTGGTGAACCCTCTCACTCCCCCTGCACTCTGGCCTGGACCCCAGTTCCTATACACATAAATAAATAAATCCTTAAAAAAAATGAACAATAATATAAAATACCTAAGTAAAACAAGCTTCCCTGCAGAAAGAGCAAACCAAACAGAACTGGAGGTTATTGCTTTGGCTGTTACCTGAGGCCAGTTTAACGAGGACTCGTTGACCTTCCTCACTGAGCCGGGCTGTAGCTTATTTATGAGTCTGAAAGGAAAAGTGTAAGCAGCATCGTATTTATTGAGCACACAAAAGCACAGGCTGGCTGCAAAACTGGTTCTATTATTATCAGCAAAGAACCCCTTAAAACATTTACATTAATAGTTCAAGGTTGGACACCTTAGACTGAGAGTGGACAAGACAAAGCCCTGGAAAGGAATGAAGGACAGAAAGCAGCCCACACCAAAAACAAACTCACTCGCTGGGCCTCCCTGGTAGTGCAGGTGTTAAGTCTCAGCGCTATCAAGCTATCAACAGCCACTGCAGCACAAGTCAATCCCGGCCACGGAGGTGACCCAGATGGCTTGGCAGACCTCTCCTGCCCCACCCACTGCTCCCCTCAGCAGTATACTTCGTTGAGCTGCCTGTTCTGCCTCCCACTCTGTCTCTGGTGAATCCTCTCACTTCCCACCCCTCTGACCTACACTCCATGTAGGTCATCCATGCATGAATAAATAAAAATAAATCTTTATTTTTAACAACAACTCACTCGCAGAGGATTATGCCATCTTTGAGACCCAGCTGGAAGTTGGGGCCAATGCTCATGCCTGTCACCTCTTCGATCCAATTGCGAAGATCTTCTTCTGCCTGGTGATCATACTTGGAAGCAATCTGAAATACAAGTTCACTACCTTTAGAAGAATCTTCACTAAGCAGGGGGCCTGCCTGGTGGCCCAAGGAGTTCCGTCTCAGTGCTATCAAGCTATTGCCAGCCACTGCCGCATGAGTTCGATCTGCTGCCAGAGAGCTGACCCACACAGTGCACCAGATCTCTCCTGTCTCACCCCAGCTCTTGTACGCATAAGTAAATAAATCTTTAAAAAAAATTTTTTTTCACTAAAGCATCAAAACTGCTGACTTAGGACTTATTCTGCCTTCACGATCCACTGACACCACAGCTGTGATATGCAGCTAATAACTCACTGGGGTTCACCGCAAACCTACCCCACCAGTATACCTTCAGTAACCAATAAAAATTTTTTGTTTCTGGCAGTGTCATACAAATACACATGGAGAGAAACTGGAAGGGAGGAGAAAATAGAAGGCAAGATAAAACACACAAGATGTGACAAGGTTAATGAGAATGCTAGGCACTTAGTTATATTACATTAAAGATTACGTCATGAATCATCACATTCCCTAAAAGAGGGTGGAGGATTCTGACGCGTGCAACTGTGTGCCACACGGTAGTATCACTGGTCAAAGTCTATCAATCCTGAGCTTTTATAGTCTGGAATTTCTATGCCTCTACTCAAACACACACACATTCCTCAGCACACTAACTGTTGTACTTACAGTGCAATAGTGAAACTCTGTGTACATGTCTATATCCCATTAGATTCCTTATGAGAAGGAAAAGCATGTAATTCTACTTTTGGCCCTGCATTAGCTAGCATTGTTTCTGACCCAAACACTTAATAAAACTTAAAGTGTTGTGTTGATGCTTTACATACAGAATTCTACAATGAAGGCAACTTATATCAACACAGATGCTAGGGGATGATACATTCTAAAACTACCTTTGAAAACTACAAAATTTCTCTATAATAAAAAGGTTAAGTCTCAGTTAATAATAATACAATTTAAACAGCATATAAGAAATCACAGGCTTATGTTTGTAATTTATTCTTTCCCTAGGGCTGTCGGAGAAGGCTGGTCAATGCGAGTTACTACAGAGAAGACACTGGGAAGAACAGACTGTTATTTTACTTCTCATTAGCAAAGGTGAGAACACCAGCAGGTAGGAGGTGCCCAAGGGGGTAAAGATCACGATGAATGTGAGTCAGTTAAAGCGGACACCGAAGTGGAAACGAGTGGTAGAAATATTTGCTTCCAGAATGCATAATCAGGTTTAACTACTGAAAAAAAAAAAAAAATGAAATGCCATCATGACTTTTCAGTCCTGGGGAAGTCCTTGCTGCCCTAAACCCATGATGCCTCCAAATTCTTTCCAGGAGAGAGAGAATCCCAGGATCCCGCCACTCAGCAGCTTCAAGATGTACATGCCTCCTGGTCCGCTGACCTGAAAACTCACCCACCAGTGGGACACCTGTAATGGTCCTACGATGTTATTATCTTACTCTCTGTGTTCTTTTCAGTGACGCTCTCCCCATGCCCCAGCACTTGATCCCACTAGTTACCACACGTTTAAGGCAGACAGCAGTCCTCCCAAGGTAACCAAACGGCTCTACCCCTTTGGTAGACCGAGTCATTTAACTAAGCTGCAGATTGAGGCAGGATTACAAATGGAAATCCATGGAGTTTATCTCTCACATTAAGATAACTAACACCACAATGTTCCTGGACCAAATGGGCGTGCAATGCTCTTACCACAGCACGTATACTAAAATCTCATCCTGGATGTTGGTTCATAAAACATAGTTGGGCACAAAATAAAGCTAGTACCTAATGCACAGTAGTTCCTGGTGCCTAAAAGCCACCAGCCTATTGTGACTTCCTGCCAGTCTGGGTTATAAAGCAGCTAGCTGTGGGACAGGGAAGGAGGCAGTGATGCTGGCAGCTTGTCACACCAGAAGCAGCCATTTCTCCTGTTACTCCTCGGAGAATTGCTCTTAAATAACACATCTCCTTGGCCCTCCCTGGTGGCGCAGTGGGTTAAAGCACAGCACTAAGAAGCTTAAGCCACGTCAGCGTGAGTTCGATCCCTGTCCCGGAGGTGACCCACATGGCGCAGCAGACCTCTCCTGACCCGCCCGCTGCTCCCCTCAGCAGTGTACTTCGTCGATCTACCTGTTCTGCTCCCCACTCTGTCTCTGGCAAAGCCTCTCGCCGCCCCTGAGCCTCTGGCCTGTACCCCAGTTCTGTATGCACAAATAAATAAATCTTTAAAAAAAAAAAAAAAAAACCCAATCCCCCCCCCCCAGCCCATCCAACAAAATCACTTACATATAGGAACTTATGAAATTTGAGTAATCGATTACTTAGGCAGAAGAAAGTGAAGACTTGAATATAATTTCACAATGGAGTCTTGTTCCAGGTGTCACAGACAAAGAGGAGAAAGTAATATCTTGAAGCATTCACTATGCGAAACCACCTCTATTAATGAGTTATTTTTTTCAACTAAGAGGGTCACTTCAATAAATCTGAACAAACATGACATGTTGGCGCAGGACAGTCCTACCTGAGGTCTGAGGCTGCCTCCCCCATCTATGGCCCCAGTGGTGAATTCATCCAACTTCTGACCCATCATTTCCTGTCACTACCCTAGGAAGTCTGAATCCCGCGTCTGCACTAGGGAGCTATACTCTATGTCATTTCCACAATCAGCAGAAACTAAATAAAAATTGTTCTCTTCACTTTTTCAAATGCAGAAGTGGAAATTATGCTGCAGGGGGTTTGGGCTTGTTGTGGGTTGGTGGTGGTGGTGATTCTTAACCAAATGAGACCAATTATTTAGCCAGGAAAATATGAAAAGCATATTTATGCTCCCTTTGTTCAAAATGTGTCTGACAGATACAGCGCCTGCCCCAAGCCACAGAGTGATTACAGATCTGACTTGAAAGACCTAGAAGGAATGTCAGAGAATGTTTCATCTCCTCTGTGACTGTTCTTGTCCAGGGAGTGATGAGAGAAAAATCAAGGACTGGAGTTGGATGGGCCTGCCCTCACCCCTGCCCGACCACTGACCACTAACTATTATGGGGTGGAGCTCTGGAAAGCTGACTGTTCTCAGACGTGACAGCACACATACAGGAAAAAAAAATTATAAGCACATAATACAAAGTTCAAGAGCACATGTGGGAAAATAAAAGTGAAAACAGGTACATACATTCATTTTCTTTCTCTCTCTCTTTCTCTCTCTCTCTCTCTCTCTCTCTCTCTTTCTCTCTCTCTCTCTCTCTCTCTCTCACACACACACACACACACACACAGAACTGCTGGTTTTGACTTAGTATTATTTTCCTTCAAGTGAAGAAGCAGCAAGGATTTTTCTACCCAAATAATATTTTTCAAACAACTGAGCTTTCTGCAGTCAAGTCAGCCAAACAGAATTCAAGATTTAGGAATGTGCATTCGTTTTAAAAAACTGCCTTTTGGGCTCTCCCTGGTGATGCAATGGGCTGAAGTACCACATTATGAAGCCACTGCAGCACTAGTTCAATCCCAGGCCAGGGAGGTGACCCACATGGTGCGGCAGACCTCTTCTGACCAGCCCACTGCTCCCCTCGGCAGTGTACTTTGTCCATCTGCCTGTTCTGCTCCCCACTCTGTCTCTGGTGAATCCTCTCACCACCACACCTCTGGCCTGTACCCCAGTTCTGTAAACACAAATAAATAAATCTTAAAAAAAAAAAGTGTCTTTCAATGAAAAAATAATCTCATGAAATCATGAGTAAATCTATCACAAATTGGCTCTTAGATGCTGACCTCCAATGCTGTAGCATGTAGAAATCTTATGTTTACTTTAAAAGGTTCTATCAGAACACAACCCAAGCAAATAAGGTGATAGTCTAGCCAAAGAGGTTCACTCTGAACTGTCTGACATATACATCTTGTAACTCAAGAGGCAGAGGGCAGTGAAGAAGTAAGCTGTGACCAGTAAAATGTACCTCATGGAAATTCCACTCTTTGTTTAAAAATCACTTGTCCGAGTAGCTTATAAACATTTTCTCTCCTCTTCTTCCAGATTTATGTTACTTGATCTTGGCAATCAACTTCCTCAGACTTTCTGCCTGGTTCTTTGTAGTCCATGAAGCCCCTCTCTTCACACTTCCATACCTCCCTCCCGAGAACCCACCAGTTACCTAAAGTGGTGTCCCCAACCCTTTCCATATTGTAGCTCACTCTGAGAACACCTGCTGGAGACTCATGCCAAAGCTCAGGTGCACTCCACCTTTGCCAAGCACAACCAACAGGCAAAGAAAATGCCTCCAAAAACCATTCAGGCCTCAGATCCAGTCACCACACTCTGCCACCTTGCAGTGCTGGATCCTGGCAACTAACTTCTTCTGAGCCTGCTGGAGTGCTCATGCCTGGGAGAGCTCAGCCTTTGCTCTTCCCTCCTCCTCAGGATACCAGAGAGCACCTGTCTAGCCACCTTCTTGTTCCAACCAAACAGTTCAGTCCTTTCTGGCACACCACCTTTCTGAGGTTCTCAATTTCTTTCAGTTCCTGAAATAACGCTTGTTAGGAGTCAATAAATAAGACAGCACAGAAGCTTTCTGAAGGAGGGTAATACTGGCCCCAAAGGGGTGAATGAAAACCAGATCTTGCAGTGGGTGATGAAAGCAACTTTAGATATTACAACCTGTGACACCCTAACAAATGATAGTCCTTTCTGTTAGATCTGGGAGGGGTTGAAATTAGGGGAAAAAAAATATCTAAAGACTCCTTGGCTATGGCAACAACCGAAAGGCTCACCGAGAGATACATGGATAAGGAAGATGTGGTGATATACACAATGGAGAGTATTCAGCTATATTTGAAAAAGTATGATGTCGGCCCTCCCTGGTGGCGCAGCGGGTTAAAGCACAGCACTGAGAATCTAAAGCCACTTCCTCATGAATTCGATTCCCGCCTGTCCCGGAGGTGACCACATGGGGTGGCAGACCTCTGCTGACCCGCCTGCTGCTCCCCTCAGCAGTGTACTT